AGGCCGGGTGGGCGGCTTTCGCCGCCGACCCCATGAACTTTGCTCCGTCCAGCCTTTCTGAAAAAGGAACCCATGGGTCCTGAGTATGGGTCCAAGGAAGCCCTGAAGCTGGCCAGGGCACGCCCAAGGTGCTGCTTGTTACCTTGGCCACTTTTGGTTTCACTTCTGTTGCATTTCTGCATTCTTCCTCAAACTCTCCCCATGATTCCCATGCCAGGGTTTCTGAAGGCTCGTCAGGAGGTGGTGCTGAGGGCTTAGGGTTCTCCTGCTGAAAGCATGCCTTTAAGGCCGAAATAATAGGGTAGAACTCCAGCGGCAGATCAACCCCCAATTGAACCTCCTTTTGTCGAGCTAGACATTCCACGTGTTCCTATGTATCCCCAGTAAAAACATTAGCCCCAAGTAGCCAGGGAGCCAAATGAACAGCTTCTGCCCAAACCTTTTGAGCTACCAGATTTGACAGATCCAATCCCCTACTTTTAAGCATATCTCTCAGCGCTATAAGCGCGGGTCCTCAGGCTTATTAGTTGCGTTACCCATCTTTCGAGTCTCGCTTACCCCGAACTCTTGATTGGCCCCAATCCGTTTTTTTTTTCTTTCTTTTCTTCTTTTCACCTTCCTTCAAGCGCCACGCTGGGCGCCAGTTGCGGGGGGTTCAAACCAGCAACCCCCTGCGCAGTGATGATTGGGGATGAGTAAGCATGCCGTTCACCAGCCCATGCCGCCCCCAGTACTGGGAACACTCAGGCGCAACGGGGAGCCTAGTCAAGTAGGGACTCATTTATTGCAGGTGTTACAGAGCTTATAAAGGCATCTGGAAATCCCCCCCCAACCCAGGGTGTATCTTAAGGATGATCACGTGCTGATCATGCACTCCTCAGCAGTGCAGAAGTATCCTTCAGACTTGTAAAACAAGTCAGGCCATGCCCCAGTAACTTCCTCTCGGACCTCTGCAAGGTGGGGACTTTAGGTCCCCACATGCAGGTACCCATGGAGGCCAAATGCATTAGATCACCATGGAGCTGGAACTACTGTAGTTGTGAACTGCCTGATGTGAGTGCTGGGACTTGACCTCTATTCTTCTGATAGAGCAGTATATGCTCTTAACCACTGAGCCCTCTCTCCAGCCCCATGGCCTAATCTTTTTAAAGCACACCTTTAATCCCAGGACTCAGGAGGCAGAGGCAGGCGGATCTCTGAATTCAAGGCCAGCCTGGTCTACATAGTGAGTTCCAAGACAGCTGGGGCTACAGGGAGACCATGTCTCGAAAAGACCAAAAAAAAAAAAAGCACAGCTTTTACTTCATCATTCTTCTGTTCAAACTTCCATGGCTATTTCATTTGCAGACTAAAGCCCAAACAGATCCAAGATACACCTACTTCCTATTTACTTTTAAATCATACTTCCCTTCATTTGATTCAACTAAAAACTACTTTATACCTTTAGCCTAGACCTTTCCTCTAATTCCCAGCCACCAAGAACTGCTTCCTTGAAATCTCCCAGAATGTCTAAAAAAGCACAATGAATTCTACTCTTCCACAACTGAGCTCACTGCCATTCCTCTAAAATCCAGCCTAAGTGATACCTATATTAGGTAAGCCAAATAAATGCTTAGGAGTCGTCCTTAGCTTCTCTTTCCTCATTTCTATTGTAAAACTATTGCCAAAATTTGTAGATTCTACTTCCTGAATCTGTCAATCTCTCTCCCTCAGTCACTGCCTACATCTTAATTCATCTACCATATTTCCAAGGTCTCCTTCCAACCTGTTCCCCATACTGATGTAAAAAATAACTTCTTTAAAATGCAATTGAACCATTTCACCAATCCTATGTCCCTATGATTTCCTTGCTTATAACTAGAAATGGCTTCACCAAAGTCTGGCCCAAGCCATTTCTTTAATTCACTCAAACCAGCATCACTTGTATTCTCTATGCTGTGGCCACACTCACATACTGTTTGTTTTTCATTCTAACCAGATTCCCTCCTTACTAAAAGCTCTTCCATCCACTGTGGCTTCTTTCTCTTTATCCTTCAGGTCTCACTGAGCTCAATGCATCATTTCCTGTAAGAAAGGCTTCCTGACCTCCCTACCTAAGTAAAATCCTCTACTACTGACACTCAGAACATTACATATCTCTCCTTCATAATACTTACCAGATAAAGTTCTACAACTGATTTTACCTGGTTAATATCCATTCCCCAGGCTGAGGGTGTAGCTAGCTAGCACGTGCTCAATCCCCAGTAGCAAACAAAACAGAACAAAAACCTACACACACACACACACACACACACACACACACACGCACACAACCAATCCATCCATCCATCTGTCCATGCCCTCCACTGAAGTATAGTCCCCATAAAGCAAGGCATTCATAAAAGTTTGCAGTTTTAATTCATTATGGTGCCTTTGCATTCCTTTTATTGTTCTTCTGTTCAGAGTTTTTCATTAAATGATCAAATCCATCTCATCTTTAAAGTTCGGTTCAATGTCACCTCAACCCAACTTTTTCAATTCTCAACTCATGACTTCCTCCTTTCCTTGAATTTCTAGCACACCTACAGTACACTAAGGAGTAATGTGGACCATACATTACAGTTGTTTCTACACATTTTTCCTCCTCTACTAGCCTAAGGACTTCTTTTATAAACTGAGTCCTTCTGAATTAACCTTTCACCCTCAAAATATTCACCTGAAAGAATTTCTGAATAGTACAAGCCTATCCTATAGCTACAGAGCACATAATAGAAAGGTAAAGTATTAAAAACTTAAGAAAACTAAAATATCTGTGGAAAGATACAAAACCAGTAGCAATTTAGATAGCTTCCAAGGAAGGTAACTGGGCATCAAGGGAACAGTGGCCAAAGGAAGACATTTTGCTTCCATTGACAGTTGACTCATATGGACACAATTATCTACTGCATGTTTAGAAGACTTTTGTGTGTGTATGGTGTATGCATGTGCATGCCTGTGTATGAAGGTATACCCACCCATGTATACACATGTGGAGACCAGATGTGGACATTGGATATATTCATCTGTTGCATGCCACCTTATTTTTTGAGACAGAGTCTCTTCCTGAACCTGAAGCTCAACGTTTTGGCTAGCCTGGCTGCCTAGTGAGGCCCCCAGCTCTACATGTCTCCAATCCCCCGTTCTGGGGTTACAGATGCATGCTAAAACTGGCTTTTACATGGGTGCCAGGGATCCAAACTCAAGTCCTCATGCTTGCACAGCAAGCACTAAGCTACTGTCTCAGCTGCTTTATATTAATCTTGACTCACATGACTATGCCAATGACAAGTAAGTACAGATAGGTCTTAATTAATTAATTTAATTAATTAATTAATTTTTTTAAGACAGGGTCTACCTGTAACCCCAGCTGGTCTGGAACTCACTCTGTAGATCAGGCTGGCCTCCAACTCATGAAGATCCACCTGCCTCTGCCTCCCAAGTGCTGGGACTACTTTTTTTTTTTTTTTTTTTTTTTTTATTAGGGTTTCACTGTGTAGGTCAGGCTAGCCTGAAACTCACCCACTTAGCCTCAAATTCATGTTGATCTTCCTGCCTCAGCCTCTCCAGTGCAGGGATTACAGGTGTACGCCACTATACCAGCCTCAGAAGTCTTAATTTAAACTACACAAAAATAAACTCTAGGAAAAAAAATGTAACTTTAATGTTTAAAACACTGAACCTCACATTATCAGGCAAAGTAGGCCAACCCTGAAGTTTTCTGCAATCTCCTACAAATAACTAGACAACAAGCACCCACTGAGCATCTACTCTACACAGGCCCTTCCTGGCAAACAATGTTATTTGACTGAACAGAAAAACAGTCTGTAGTTGACATGTGCAGTAGCAATGTTCCTTACCTGATTACACAAAAACTTGTTTTAATACAGAAGAGTAAACCAGGAGTGGAAGGCCATGCCTATCATCCTAGCACTCTCAAAGCAGAGACAGGATGGCAAGTTGGAAGCCTACACAGTGAGACCCTGTCTCAAAAAAGATAAACATAATATATATGTGTGCATACTCACATTTATAACAATATATATTAAAAGAAATAGTGCATCTATTTGCCATGAAAAAAACTGATTTCTTACTTCAACTTTCATTGGCAGTGTAGCATTAAAAAGGTACCCCTATGCCATGTTTAGCCATCCTGGTCAGACTTTGCAATCTCTCATATATACTCTTGACGGCTGCTGTCCTGATAGTCAGTACCTATCCAAACAAAGCTCCACTCAAGGTCCTCTGTTTACATGGCCTGAAGAAGCCCTGGTCCTATCACAACCTATCACATGGCATTTTTATTTTGTTATGAAGGTGCACGAATTGGGGAGAAAAAGAACCAGCAAAAGAGGAATCAACACATTAAATGACAAATCCAACAGAAGAGACATCATCAGGGTAGAACTATGGAAAAGTTAACAAGGAAGTAATCAATACTAGTAGCACAAGGTAGTTTTACGACAGTTATATGACCTTCATAGGAGGATGTTGTATCAAAGTCTCTTTAAAGTTAGGATGCCTAGAATCATACTCACTCGGAAGTATGGGATACCGGGACAGTAAGAGAAGGTGGGCAAAAATAATGGAAATCTGATTATGAATCAGAGTTTGAAAAAGGTGAGGAGAACGCAAAGATCCCAGAAACTTAACCCGCTTGAAAGCAACCGAGATAAACTAATGTTACAGAAGTTGACCTGGGGGCCAGGGAGAAAAAATACACAGTATTAAAAGGTACAGTACTCGGTGGTCTGTCTTTAAGAGCTAAGGCTGTCTCAAGTAGAACGAGTGATGGGAATCAGAGATAGAAACCCTACTCTTTAAAAGAGCACGGCAGGCTGGAGCAGAACTTCAAAGATCTTTAGGGAGAGGAGGTGAGAAAGGCACTGACTGGCTGAAGGCTGAAAGGCGGGCTGATGAGATGAGGCGCCTGACTCGAGCTCGGGTGGTCGGCATACGAGCGGCGTGGCCCGGGATTCCCTTACCTTGGCCTTGTAGCTGGGCAGGTTGCAGAGGATGTCCGTGCGCAGAGCCTCTTCTGCCAGGCTGCGGGCGCATAGGCTCCGCCACACCTCGCTGTTCTCGTCGCCGTGCAGGCAGCGGTACCAGTGTTTGCACACCAGGGCGCAGCTCCGCAGCTCGGACAGGTCCAGGTAGGAGAACACCAACTCCAGCACCCGGCTAGGTAGCCGGGCGGCCCCCGAGGACCCCGCACCCGCGCCTGCGCCTACGCCCGCTCCGCTGCAGCCAGCGCCCCCCGAGGCTGCTCCAGTCCCCGGGCCCAGTGCCGCCATCGCCTCACCAGCCGGCCCGAGGGCCGCCGCCTCCGCCGCTTCGCCCCGTCTCGGCAAGGAAGGCCAAGCCTCGCCTAGAGCCCGGAGCAGTAGCTCAGCGCCGGCCGCCGCGCCTCCACAGCTCCCGCCCCTGCCCGGGGGCGTCCGCCGCGCCCCGCCTCCCTAAGGGCAGACGCGCCGGCCGCTCGGTCCCCGCCCCTCGCCGTCGCTCAGCGCGGGAGCCGTAACCACCCGCCTCGCCCGGCCTCTCCGCGGCGCGACCCGCGCTCCGCCATGCGGGTTGAGGGCACGAAGCAAGGGCGCACGCCCAGCTGGCGCACCGCGCCTCTCAGCCCGGAAATGACTGTTCCAGGGAGGTGCCCTGCTTCCCACACTTGATGGGATTGGACGTCGCGGGTGAGGTCATCACCGGGTGCCTACGGGGAACCGGAAGCCCAGGTAGGAGACTGGTGCTCGTGGCTTCTGCGCTGCCGTCCACTACTTTTCCTCTTTTTCGTCTAATGGCTTTGCTTTGGCGCCGCTGGGCCCGTAGTCCTAAGGAGTTTTCTGTTTCATTAGGTTCCTGCGTCAGTTTCCAGTGCTGTTTAAAACTTACCTTTTCTTGCTAGCCAATTCTTAGTTCCTGCACCTTCCTGTTAGATTAGAACCCTTTTCTTTACCTTCGGGCAAAGAAGGCCGTCTGTCGTGGTCAGGTTAGATCCGGTTTTTGTTTTTATTTTTAAACGTTGGGCAACCAACGTTTTTTTTAAACGTTGAGGAAGTCTTTTCCTGGCCCGGACCTTGTGCCCTTCCTGAGTGTGGGGGTGCTTGACAGAACATCATCTGTACCAGTGTACATTCGAAAAGTAAGGTAGCTAAATCTGAATACCCCTGATAAATTACCGACACCCCCCCCCCTCCAAAAAAGTCTAGATAACCTCAGAGCGCCAGTGCTAAGTGCCACAAAATTTTTGGACAAAATGTAGTGCGCTCAGATCCACTGCGTAGTAAACAAATTAGGACAGAACGTTCTTTAAAAAATTAAGTTAAACTTTCCAATAGGAGAAAGATATGGAAGCTATACTATGTTTTCAACAGTTTTTTGACAGCCTTTAATGAGCACTTGGTAAGAGAATAACTGCTGTGCGAACCAGACCTGCTAGGTCTTTACACCAGCTTTTATGTAGTTCTCAAGACAGTTCTATGAAGCGATTATTATGAGAATAGGGTTTACAGACTCTCTTAGTAATCAAGTCGAGTGTCTTGTAATCTTTATGTAGTAAGAAATCTTGCCTGAAACTTCGGCCTGTGTGTGATCCATTTCTTGTTCTTAAGAAAAAAACAAATGAACAATTTCCTTGCTCTGGTATAATTATTTGCTTATTATTGCCCAACCAAGCTCAGTAACCCAAATTCCTTTTGGTTCTGTCAATACTAATCCCACAGCCTTTTAGTGCTTTGGCTCTTACTCAACTTCTGCACATCAGGACTAACTTTAGGAAACCCAAATCTGTAAAGAAAAGTTGACCTACACTGATTATAGTAATGGTCACTTCTCTTCCATGGTTCCTAAGTGTTGATCCAAATTTTGTCTGAAGGACAGTTATATTCCTTTTAAATCTATTGGAATGAGAAGGAAGTAAAGAATGATATAGAATGGTCAAATTGAAAGGCATGCCTGTAATTCCAGCACTTGAGAAGCAGAGGCAGGCAGATCTCTGTGAGAGTGAGGCCAGCCTGGTCTATGTAGGGAGTTCTAGGCCAGGCCAGCTGGGGCAACAGGGAGACCCTGTATCAGAAAAAGAAAGGTTGGGGGGGGGGTAAAGGGGAGGCATGCAAGCATCCACATACATATGGCACAAAGTGTGTGTAGTCCCAGTGGAGCCTCTCGTGGGAGGAACATGTGAACCAGGAGTTTAGGACCAATCTAAGCAACATACAGTTTCTCTGTCTCCTTCTCTTGGACACCCCCCACCCCCCACCCGGCTTGTACACTTGATTAGGATAAGTGTGTGAGTGAAGGTGTGACTGAAGAGAAACACTGATAATAGAGATCATCCAGTTATCAAATAACTTTTGTCTTTATTTTGTCTCATCCTGTCTTTGAGGGATCCAGTGATACTCTGGTACATATGTAGCCCCATTATTCAGTGACATATTATTACCCAAGTGGCCCCAGGATAATTTCAAAGCAGAAAAAGATTGCCTTTATTACTCTCTGGTTTTCTTTCTTATCAGATAGGGTTTCCCTGTAGCCCCAGCTGGCCTGGAACTCACTATGTAGACCAGACTGGTCTTGAACTCACGGAGATCCGCCTGTCTCTGCCTCCTGAGTGCTGGAACTAAAGGCATGAGCCACCACGCCCAGCTCTGGTTTTCTGTTTACAAGTCTGTTCATGACCTGTTCTCCATGAACCCTTACCTTGTCCCCTTCCCCCATGTTATTCTGCTTTTTAGCTGTTCAAAACTGCCCCTGTGGTGCTCCACCCTCTCAAAATGTTCTCAACATACCCTACCTTGTCCTCACCCACTCTGTGATCTCATTAGGAGTTAGAAGAAAGGAATCTATTATCTAATTAAACTAATTCAAGTAGGGTATGATTCATTTCTTTGACCATTTAGGCAGCTACACAGGAAAAGAAAAGCTTGTTGACTTGATACATGAATGTGGGGATATTGGCACTTAACCTGTTTCTGCTAGGTTGTCCTGTCAGGCAGTAGAAAATCAAGAACTGGTTTGCCAACAACTCATTTCTAAAGGATTATTTTGATTTAAGTCATATTTAAGTACATATCCTGATGACCTTTTGGCCATAACAAGTGTTTTCCCCCTATGTAGCCCAGAGAGTCCCAGAAGCCAAAATCTTACTACCTCAGTGTCCCTAGTAAGGATTACAGGCATGTGCCACCATTACTGGCCTATTTAACACTTTTGATGATGGGCTTGGGTATGTTGCAAAAAATGACAGTTTTATAGACTAAGTAAACATGATTTTGGTGGTTCTAGTTGGATCCCTGATCAATACTGTGCATGATAAATGTTGATTGACTATAATTAAAAGCCTCACTGACTATATAGATTTTTGAGACTTTCCCAACTCTTTTTCAAAAACAGTTCCATTAGTACATCTTTATTTTTATTTTTCTGGTGAGGTAAGTGATCAGTAAGTATTTTCTCCACGTGACTGGAAATTTATTTGGGTTTGTTTTATTTTTGGTTTTGGGTTTTGTTTTTTGTTTTGGGGTTTTTTTTTTTTTTGCTCTGGTGCATAGAGTTCCATCATGGTGGAGAAGTCATGGTGACAGAAGTGTGAGGCAGCTGGTCACACTGCACCTGTAGTCAGGAAGCTGGGAGAGATGAACGCTGGTGCTCAGTTTTCTTCCTCGTTTTTATTCATCCAA